CCACCCCACACAAAAAAAAAAAAAACAAGAATAACAGTAAGTGTAATGACTAGAAAAATAAACAAACAAAACGACATAAATAGAGGTATTTATGCAAATAGCAAAGGAATAAAAAAGGCAGACAAAGCAATTTGAAGCAGCAATAAGACACATACTTCTGTTTATAGTAATCTGCATACGAACTGTACTCTAGAGGACCAAGGTATCCTTCTTTCCTTGGGAATGAATTCTCCGCGGTCATATCAAATCGTACAGAATCAACATAAAACCTCTTTCCAGAATGAGCTGCAGTCACAATTCTTCCTACCAGGTCTTGTGTACAAATATAGGAATCAGCCATCATCAATTTGTCTTTGCTTAAAACATCCAGTTGAGGGGGCAATTCAATCACATCCCGATTAGGAGCCAATCCAGATGCTTTCACCACATCAAACTGTGCAACAGCTCCTCTAATGCCATATGTAGGATGGTATTTCTGTTCAAAGGCCATGCCATGACGTAATTTTCCAAATCCATATTCCCGTCGGTCTCCCCCTAGCGTCCTCTCATTAGTACCAAGATGAACATCTGGCCTAGCTCTTTGCAGGGGATTGCTCCATGCATCTGTTTTAGTTACTTCTCCAATCAGATCCCAATCTATAATATTTATAGGGTCTGCAGATTCGTTCCCATTCACGGCAACAAATAAATACGCCTTTGCAGTATCCCACGGAGTGGTGTATGGTTCAACATCCACATCCAATACAATGCTCATAAGTCGTACATGAAATCTCTTTAGTAATGCCAGCTGAACATAAATGAAAATCAATGTTAATTACAGAGCCATTCAACACTAAACTAAAAAGAATAGTTTAAAATAAATTAATAAGGAAAGAATCAATGTACCTGAGACTCTCTAATTTCTATTGGCCCTCTAAAGTCAAGGGATGCTTTTGTTATCACGGCTCGGGCAATGAATAATTCCATCGACGTCGATAATACCTATTAAGAAATGGATGTTATATAAAGAACACAATTCCCATTTATGTAAAGCTAATGTAGAAAGTAAGGCACCTCTGCATCCAGCTCACAGCCAAACAACACTGCAAACTCAGAAACTTGATTTAAGAGGGGGTCTTTTGAGAAGCCAATGTTTTCGCATTTGAATGCATACATGTAAAGACGAGACAAGTCGGAGTCCTCGCAACCATCTTTAGCGGATAAAATCCATTCTCCCTGGAGAGCCAAGATAAATAGAATACAAATATAACAATATCCTTCTAAGAGAGGTAATATCTGCCTAAGGGATAAGAAAGAAGTTATTGTTCGAAAGCCATTTCATTTCTCAAGTATAATGCACCATTCTTTATTTGTGTGTCAATTGCACAAGAATCACGTGCAATTGTGAAGACTTTTCTATTGCTCCTTTTGATCTGGTCACCTCCATCTCGTAACTACCTCTGCTTCTTAATAAATGACGGATAAAAAAACAGATACTAGCTTCATGAAGAAGCTACTAAATTTATGTCCCATAGGTGTGACATTTAAAAGCTTTAATATCTAGAATACTGAAGTGAAAGTAACAGAAAATTCTTCATTAGTAAAAGAACTACCCGGGTAAAAAAACTGCAAGAAATAATTTTCATTATGTAATCAGATTCAAGAAATTTAAACATGGGATGATATTCAAATTCTGTCCAAGAAATTGGGAATCCCATAACCAGAGGCAATTGTGGTTCAACTTCCTTTCCTAAAATCTTCTTTAATGTTTCCCTTTATCTCTTGTACCTCATGGTTAATTTTAAAGAAAAAGAATCAATACCATAAATATGTAAGCCTTTATACATGTACATACATATGTAAGCATGGATTTTTATGTACTAATGTGAATGTCAGCATGTGAGCACATACATCTGTGAATGTTGTAAGATACACAAGTTCATGATAATAAGTTCCTATCACCAACATAAGAGTATAAATCCTTTAGGTACCTAAAAGGCGGTGTACATGTTGAATTTTATGTTTGATATGTTTTAGATGCAGTAAAGTTGTTCAATCTTATATTGATATGCAGATGCTAGCACTAATTCAATGCACATCAATCTTCACCAATTCTCAGCCATACAAAGGATCTCTTTTCCCCAGCTTTCAACAAAGAGAGAGAGAGAGAGAGAGAGAGAGAGAGAGGGTCACAAACATCTATGAATCATATATGCAAAGAAAAAACCAACTTGAAAAACATTACATCAATTATTAAAACTAATTGACAACAACTGCAAAGTCAATCATCAAAACTGAGAACACAGATTTATCTTTCGATGGATCAAATCTAGTCTGCCACATAGAGCAGTTAAAATGAGATGATGGAAGAACAAACCCGAAGGATGTCAGCTACACCTTCCGGATAAAACTCCCTATGCCTAGCAGTTCCTGGAAGTGGATCTCCATCATCATTTTGTTCAACTTCCTCGGCGTCTACCCCTGTTCCCTTGTCTGGCAATAGCATGTCGGTAAATGCTCCCATCTCATGGAGCTTCTTGCAAGCAGCTAAACAAACAGCCTGCAAATTGCATAACCTATCCCTATGATAATCTCAGGTCATACTAGACAAAACTAACAAGGATTTTTAGAACGTAGCATGCCTGTTGTGCTAGACGCATCGACCTGCATGGAGGACCTTCCAGTTTCTCAAATGGTGCATTACAGGGAAGTTGAAGCTTGCATGAATATTCAGTGGGGCCCCCGGGCTTGTCATGACGCTCCATGATAAACTCTGGACGAAGAATTGAATACCTGCATATAAGTCAAGATGATTTTAAGGCCAAAAACTACAATGCATTGACCACTGTAAAGGAAGATTTGGAAAGAGAAATGCCTGTCACTGGGCAGTTGGGAGCAGTAGAAGTGGATAAGTCCAACGGCAGAATTTAAGCTCACGACAGCGCCAGTTGACTGCACCTGGTACACTGTACCAGCTGCAGCCTCTCCAGAATTTATATTTGGGGTGTCCTTCAAATGACTAATATCAGTCCTCTCGATGGCTTCCTTCCGCAAGGTTTCTTCACTATTTCTAGCATTCTTCAAAAATGCCTCGTGTGACAAATTTTCTCTACATCAAGTTATATTAAAGTACGCCATATTAGTTCTCTTTTCGCAAGAAGGCAGGAAGTTCGAAGATGTAATGGCCCAGGATTACCTCTCAACCATCAAGATGTAATCCGATCCAGGCTTTCTGGCACGACCTCTAGACTGGATATAAGCCAAAACAGTTTTGGCAAGGTCGAAGCGAATAACAACATTGCATTGTCGAATATCAAGACCCTCCTCAGCAACACTAGTGGCAACTAGCACAGTCACCTGAACCAGATGTAATCACCAATGAAAAAAACGAGAATTACAAGCTACAGATATCTAAAAGCACTGGTTTGGAATCTAGACATACACGGCCATCACGGAATCTGGCAATAGTATCTTGCATCTGGTATGCTCGCATTTCTTGACTGTTGTTATGCCCAATCAAACTTGCAGACTTGACAAAACTTAGGGAAGGAAGTTCTGCAAAAACCTGCAAGTACATAGAGCACATTAATGGTCATAGCTAGCAAAACAATAAACCATAACTCACAAAATGTCATTTTTGTTAAACAATTGACCTTTGGAAGAACTAAGGCAGCCACAACACGTTCAACAAAGATTATTGCACGAAAATCCTCCATATGCTCATATCTCAGAAGTATTTTAATCAACGACTGCACCTTTGGGGTCACTTTTCCATCAGCAACAGCAGCTCCAATAATCGCATCAACATGCTCCCCACCAGAGACAACTATATCAGACAAGAATAAGCTAATTTAACATTTAACAAATATTCCATTATCAAGGACCGGCCTATCAACAGTTGACCTATACAAAATCTGAGCAAATGCACAATGCTGGCAAGTTAGTATCCTAACATAATACTCCTTACATATGTTTCTATATCTTATATATGTTTCTATATCGTTTAAAAATATCTCACCTTCCTGAAGGTTGAGAATGTTAGAAATTATGAATTGTAGGTAATTAACTTATCTAACTATAACAAAGTAGAATACCCTACTTATAAGGTCACAACTAGCTCTAAAAAGAAATATTATGTGATAATCGCACAATCAACTATTAAGGAAAATAATCTAACACAATTGGGAAAAAATTCACATAGAATAATATATAATATTTCTATATTTTCATCTTCCCCTCAAACTCAATATGATGCTGTAGAAACCAATTTAGTTTTAAAATCAAATTGAGCCGAGCAAGTTGTCCTTCCCAAGACTCAAACGATACTTCGGAATTGCATTTACCATGCATGCCGTCCAAGCCAACCAAAAAACTAGAAGTTGATGCGGAATACAATCACTATCCACCAATTTAACAAGACCATCACCAAGACTTGATGCGCATATCCCACAAGCAGAAGGAACAAGGTCAAAATCAAACCTCAACCAGTTTTTTACACCTAAACTTGCCAAGGATAGACCATGTTAAAACTAGTACTGCAAAAATCTATGGGGGTTCACGAGCAATCCTCCCAAAGATAAAGACAAAGACTGGCCAGAAAACTCCGGCAAGGCACACAAGGAAGTTAAGAAAATGTGATGGACAAAAAATTTGATGGAAAATAACAAGATTTTCTTCCCAATTGTTCTTGCGCCAACAAATTTGAATTTATCCAACAAAAGCATCAGGAACGTTTTCTGATAGAAGCTATAACTTATTGGATCGAAATCAGGATTGAACCAAGAAGAATTGCCAAAAAAGGATTCAAACTCCAATTCAAGTGACAATCCAAATTAGCCAATTTACGTAGTTATTGCAAAGAACCCAACTCAAGAAGCAAGCCAAATAAGCCTGCCGTGTATGTCGTGGTGGAGCAATAACCAAAGTAAATCCAACAAGGCAGGAATCAACCAGAAGAAGACGGTGCAGAACAAACATAAATGCAGAGCTACAAATAACTGCAACTGAAGGCAGTCAGTCATCTCCTTCAAACAACACAGCCGCGACAACTACTGACTTGCTTAGGAATTCTGTTGCAAGTCCAGAAATGTAATTTATGCACTCGTAAACTTGGAATTTCTGCCTCCACTATGACATATTATCTAGTGATTTCTTGGTATGCGAGTGAATTTGTGAATGGAAGAATATGAAGCTGGTGAAAATATAATATTTCTATGCCCTAAAGATGGACAACTTGTTGCGATCAGCAGAAGACAAATCCGCAACAGTGATAATAAGCCGGACGAGCCCATTGAAAAAAAAAAATGGTTTGGCAGGACAGAATCTAAAAGAAACAAAATTTGGGCAGACAAGCATAACTAAAAGAAATGGATAAAACACTCTGTCGAATGAGGGGCGGAAATGAGAGAGATAGAGATAAGAGAGATTGAAATCTAGTGTAAAGGCAAAAGGGTAAAATGTTTTACCTAAAAAGGGATGTATCTGTAACTTTTAAAAAAGAAATGGTTGGTGATGTTATTGCAACAGACAGATGTCTTGGGAAGTGTCCATATAATTTGCAATAAAATATATATTTGGTATGCAGGCCTCAGCTTACAATTTCTTATGGTAGCGCTAAAATCTTTGTTGAAATGTTGAATAATGCTTCAGCTCTTGAATTTTAGGGAACCTAATATGTCTTGAGTTATCAAAATGCCTGGGTTTCCTTTAAGGACAATAATCCCCTAAACAAGTCCCCTAATTAAAAATTAGTTATGGTCATAAAAAATCATGGATTTAGAAAAAGAAAAAGGAAAAGAACATCCTAACAGCAAGAAAATAGATATATTCAAAAGTAACATCTTTACTTGATTAACCAAAACCAAATGGCATTCTAACAATTCACCTTTAGTAGCATTAGGAGGATCTAGTCAGCGTGTCTTCTAATGCATAGTTTAAATGATAAATACAATGGAAAGTACTCACCATGACTGTTAGTAAGCTCCCCTTCCTCTAGCTCCTCAGTCCCATTCCCAGAACCATGACCAATGTCGGCAACGCTTGTAGTTTCTTCTGAAATGGCTCCCTCAGATAAATGGCATTGCAAGAGCGAGACAACTTTATGTAGGTACGATTCTTGAAACTTGACATCAAGTTGGTAGTTAGCCCTTTCATCATTTTGCAAAGCAGTTAAGAATGCTTGTGCAACCTGCAAAAGAAAACAGGCTTTGAGGAAATATAGTACACAGGTTGACTCGCTTACAATGTGACTAACTCCCCATATCTGGAATAGAATGCCTTCGTTTTAACTTTCACTGTGCTGAAAAAATGTTTTCACTTTCTAAAAATTGACACTTGTTAAACATATCTTCCTCAAACCATCCTTCAGTAAAATAAAATCTGTGTTCTTCAAATACGTTAGTAAAGCATCCCCACCCCCAAGCCCCCAGAACCAAAAGTAGAACCCAAACCACATCCCACCATGACCGCCGACCCATTTTCAGTAGAATTACGATAGCCGTACCAAAGACCTTCAAAATGAAAAAGGCACAGAGCGTACCAATATCCAAATTCCAAAAACATCATGGCTACCACCTCACTGGGAATGCAGAGCTGGGGGAGATGGTAATAAATATACTGATTTAACTAAACAGGGAAATTGGAAAAACATTGCTGTCGAAGGTTTCTCCAAATCATTTAGCCAGATCAAACTACGACATTCAATTCCAAGTTGAAAAGTACATGAAATCCACAAATCATCACCTTATAAGCACACCACTGTCCCAGTTCACCAAGTGCATAGTTGATAGCCCTCAATTTTTGAATTAAATTTGCAGCACCGTCACTTTCTGTACGTTCAGAAACACCATAAACTTGGCGCATCTCTTCCTTAGCACCAGCATCTCTTGCTCCCATAAATTGCCATTTACTTTTTCTGGAGCTTGACCGAGCTGCCTCTTCAACGGCCTGCTCCAATTGTTTTATTTGTTGATGGAGGGACCATAAACTAGCAGCTTTGTCATACTCCACCACTATTTCTGAGGGCATCGGTACATGTTTCTCCAACTCCTTACGGTCCTTTATAGTACAAACTATGGAATCTAGTTTACTTTCCAAATTACGAATTTTTACCGCACAATCCACTTGGCTAGAAACGCCTGCATTATGCATAGGAAAGAACAGTTATTTGAAAGGTATACAGGACAAGAAAAGAACAAGCCCTTGTTTAGCTCGGATTAAAATCAGATTTTTAGTAAATTTTGATAAAAGTTGATGAAATGTATGGTTTAAGAGTTGATAAAAGTTGTGAGTCCTATAAAATGTGTGGTTGAAAACGAGTTTGAGAAAAAAAGAGTTTTAAGAATTAGGGACCAAACAGAGGCTAAAAATAAAGCAATATATTTATTCATAAAGACTTGGCAAAAAAGATACTGCCTCCAAGAAACCCATTAGCTTACAAAACAATTTAACCCTATGTTTGGTCTCCCATTTTCCAACTTATTTTCAACCACATATTCTCCCATAAAATAATTTTAGACGTAACCCAAAACTTTTCCTTATTTTTAATTTTTAAACCACACATTCTTCAAAAAAATCACAATTCAAAACCACATTTTCTAAAAAAATGGGGCTGAAACAAGGGCTAAATTACTGCACAAGGGACAAATCACAAAAGTACCCTTTAAGTTAACAGGAGATGCAGTCATGCCAAAAACTGAAGGTCTTTTCTCCCTTGGTGTTGTGTGATAGAACTCAGACATGACCAAAGAATATGGATGTTTCTTCACAGCATGGTGACATTCATCCAATACAAGAAGATTGATGGCATCCATTCTTACTATGCTGTGTCTAAGTATGTTTAAAAGAATTTGAGCAGTCATCACTAAAACCTGTGTGTAGAAGCAACAGAAGTGAGTAAAATTTAAAATGACTGCAATTTTGCAATTAAATTCCAGCACTTGAGTAGATAAACTTTAAAGTGCAGCTTTCATTTTCTGCCAAGACCTAAAATCCACTAAATTGCATGTTCAAACATATTTTACTGCTAAGTCTTAAAATCCACTAAAATGACAGTTCACATGGGTAAAAAAACTCACTTGGTCACTGTTTCTTTAGGTTGGTTTCAATTTAGTCACTCAAATTTAATTTGTTCTATTGAAATGGAAATATTTAACCCGTAAAAATTAAAACACTATACTTATTTACAACATATATTAATTATATGCTAATTTCATTAATTCTTATTAATTTATTGAAGAATGTGACAAGTCAAAAAGTCCATAAAGTAATTTATTTCTCTCTCATCCTCATTTCAAAGTAAGAACAGCCGAAACAGTCATAAATTAGGTCTTTGCCTCTCCCCTGTTCATCATTTTCATCTTCACGAGAAGTAATGGGAGTTACAGCCTTACATTTGCAGCACTACTCCTTTGCTGTTAAAGGAGCTGCATGAATAAAGGTTAAGCAAAGGCCTCAGCTATGCAAAAGTGATTTTCAAAGAGAATTGTGTTTTATCCATTTCTCTCCAACTTGTCCATTTTTGTTCGCTTTTCAAAAATTTGTTCACTGTTTATTTGTATTTGTCATGAAAGAAGTGAACCAATCAAACCGGTAACGGGTATCTGGGTTAACCAAGGCCGGTCGGCAGGGTTCTAGACCATTTTTATAGTAAAAGACTTTTTAATCTTAACCAGCCCGATTTTCCCAGTAGAACCAGCCAATCCAGTTCTCATAACATTGATTTAAGCAGAATCCCCTGCCTGATGGAACTTTTTGCCAAAACTGCACTCCTATCCTCTAGAACTATCTTTTTATCAACTTTTGAGTGCATGTTGAGTGACACCAATGATCAATTATATAAGTACAGAAACACACAAATCTAAAACAAAACATCAAATTCTTGGTTCAAATAACACATTTCAGCTGCAAGAACCTATAATACTACAGTACTATTCGATAAGATCTAATAAAACCATGATTGCATCTGCTATGTCAGAACATGAGTTCATTAGGAGACGTGACGTATCAATTTCCTTGATTCCTGTATTTGGGTAGAGATACTCAAGCCTTCAGTCGGGAATACGGTAGATTCAGAACTTAAGTTATCATATAACCAAGAATCTCTAAACCAAGGTTGTTTCTGTTTTCACATTCACACAACAATTCAAATGAGAAAGCAATAACATTTATTTAAAAAATATCAACTGAAGATTGACAGGCCCACGTCCTACTCTCGGTTGACCATGAAACTATGAAGTCCAGTAAATGAAGCGTTGTATCAAGGGTGACACGGTTCCATTACAGGTAAATTACCACAAAAGTAAACACTCGGATATCTGTGCATTTCATATTGCCCCGATATTGATCCAAACAGAAAATTGTATTTCAGATTCTTTTCAATCTAAAGATTTTGAGGTGCTTACCAGGAATCAATCTAACAAACCAAACACAGCCTACATCATTACTACTCAAGATTCTGACCATTTTCCAGAGGGGTCAACTAGCCGTAGCATTGTAATTTGTCATCTCTGGTCTTTTGAGTTCTCTATATTGCCCAATCATAAGCTAGACTGCTGCTATTGTAGAATTATTCCTTGTTTTCCAAATCTAGCATGCTAGATGGAGGTAAGTCTCTGGGCCCCTTCATTTTCATTATTTTCTTTTTTCCTTGGGCTGTCTCCATGTCTCCTCCATCACTTGTACTCTTATTTTCACAATATTAGTTATAAATGCAACAGGTCCATGCCAAACTACTTACCACGTCAAAGACCAAAAAATGATATCTTCAAAGAGTAAGTACTCTCTGCCTATGATACCTTTAAGTATCCACTTGAAGGACAATGGAAAATGATAAAACAGCGTTATTATGCTTCAATAAATAGATAATATGCTATGCATTCATTATAAAAGGCCTGTTTACTTATGTTTTCTCAAACGAATATTTTGGGAATTTGAAAGATCTTTTGGGTGGAAGAAGTTTGTCTTAAACTAGATCAATATTTAATCAAATCAAGTGCAACTTCAGGTTCATTGTTCAAAGTACCTGAATGATATCTTCAAAGAGTAAGTACTCTCTGCCTACGATACCTTTAAGTATCCAGTTAAAGGACAATGGAAAATGATAAAACAGCATTGTTATGCTTAAATAAATAGATAATATGTTATGCTTTCATTATTAAAGGCCTGTTTACTATGTTATCTCAAACAAATATTTTGGGAATTTGAAAGATCTTTTGGGTGGAAGAAGTTTGTCTTAAACTAGATCAATATTTAATCGAATCAAGTGAAACTTCAGGTTCACTGTTCAAAGTACCTGTTTTGATTCGAACTCGCGCTGCCACCTCCGGGCATCCCAGAAATCTTGACCCATTTCACCACAATAATGACCGACTTGATAACCCGTTTGTTCACGGATTACTTCTGCTTGCTGCATTATTGAATACAAAAAAGAATCACTAAGATACAAGTTAACATATTGAACGAGCAGAAAATTCCTCTGCTATTCATCCATTGAACAATTACCTGATAAACAAGTGGAACTTTAGGGACCAAAAAGACAGCCAGCATTTTCTTATTCTGCTTTTGCAGCTCAACATAGACACTTTTTATAAGGAGGACTGCAATAAGAGTTTTCCCAGCGCCTGTTTCTAGAAAAGCAATAGTGTTTCTCATTTTTGCCTGTTCAAGGACATCCAACTGGTACTGGCGAGCTTGCTCCTCAGGAATTTTCTCTTTCAGCTCTTCAGGTTTCTTCTCTTCTGAGCCTCCATCATGTTTGTGGCTTTTCTCAGTATGCATTTTCTCATCTCTGTTTCGACAAGCTTCCCAAGAACCATGTCGGAAGACCAAATCATTAGTTTCCTTGTCCCTCTCCCAGTAACCCCTTCCTTCCCGGCAATCCCTGTCCTTCCTGCTAACAGTAGTAAAGCGCTCTCTTCTCCTCACTTGATCCCTGTCCCGCCCTTCCACCTCCACATCATCCCAACTGCGAGGTCTCTTCCTGCCAAGACCCGTATCCCAACTTTTCTCACCCTTTTTGTCACTGATTCGAGCCCTTCTGCCCAATCTTTCCTCGGATTCATGAAATTCACGAGGTCTCTTGACATTTTCATTTCCATTGCACTTGAATTCGTTGCTATCACAAGGAAGTTTCTTGCCATTATAATTAGTAATTTCAGACCTAGAAACTGAGTGTTGATGCTGGAGGCAAAAATTATCAACTTCATCCAGACTACAGCGAGATACCTCTGACAAATTAGCACCATTTTTAATATTGGTAAGAATCTGATCTATTCCACCAAAGAAACAAGAATCAAAGCAGCCATCCTGACTGTGTGGCTCTGGATTAGCTGCATCAAAATCGTTGATGAGGTCATTGCATGAGATGTCCTCACAAGCATCCAGCCAATAGGAGGGTTTAATATCGGAAGTTGGAGGATCAACATTACCTGAAACCCTACCCTCCTCATCCATTTCTTACAATGACTTTAATTTAGTTGAATAAGACTAATACAAGAATAGTAAAGTGGATTCAATACAACTTACGCAGCAAAGAAATTACTGAAAATACAGCACCAAAATACCAAAAAAGTAAAGAATCTAAATTTAAAACCAGATTAAATTTAAAAAAGAATATTCAAGGTAAGACTAATTTAAATTCTAAACCAGTGTATAGAGAGAAAGAAGAATGAATGGAGAAAGCAGATAAGCGTGAAATAGACCGTACGAAGCAACCAAACCAATTTGTGTGATTCAAAGATTCCCCACGGTCTATATTACGCCATTCTGCTCTCTCATCACTTCACTTTCCCTTTTTCTTCCCCAATAAACTCAAATCCCTAATTTTTCTTTCCTCAATCACTGTTCAAAAGTCACTCCTCACTCTAGTTTTTTCCCAGATCTGTCTCTATCTCTCTCCCTTGCTGTTACAAATTGCGTTGAGACTTGAGAGAGAGAGAAACAGACAGAAGAATGGGGCTCAGCTATAGCAAAAGTGAAAAGCCAAAAGCTAATTCACAGTTAAGGCGGTCCTACGTTGCAGATGGATTTAGAATGTGTTGAGCCACTCTTAAAAAAAAAAAAAAATATTACACGTAAAATTTAAAAAAAAAATTATATCTTTTTCAATTATATATTCTCTAAAAATTTATTATTATCCTCATTAACATAACAAATAATGGAGCCCAAACAGGGGCTAGATTTTAAACAGAAATTTTTTAAAAAGTATGTGAATAAAATTAAAAAAATTATTAGTTAAAATAGGAAATCATATTAAAGGTCTGAGTGTATGTTTGATCTTCATTATCTAATAATTCATTTTTCTTCAAACTTATTTTCAAATACATATTCTTCTAATAAAATAATTTTTCACATAAACTTAAAAATATTTCATATTTTTTAAGTATACATTTTTAAAAAAATTACTATTACTAAAGATGGTTAAAATTCACTTTTTAACCTGTTTTTTTAGGTTGTTAAAATTATTTATACTCCCAGTGTACCCAAGAAAATAAATATTGGGTAAAAATAATTAGGAGTTTGATGTAGTTTTAAACCTCTGAATAGGCTAATTATATTATTTTTATTTTTCACCACTCTTTTATTACATTTAAAGTTTTTAATCTTTGCTAGCACTTTTATTCTTAATGATTTTTCATATCATTTTTATTTTCAACATTTTCATAAGTTCACATGTTTTGTATTTAATGAAAATTTTATGTCCAAATAGTCGATGAAATGATGTAAAATAACTTCTTCTTTTTTTCATCATATTTTTAAAAATTAAATAAATAAAAAGTGCGAAAAAAAAATATGTTTTCCACATTTCAAAGCATGAAAAAAAAATTATTTTAATATAAATCATCATCAATGACCAAACGAGCATGTTTGAGCCTCATTTTTTTTTGTTGCAAAAAATGCATTTTCGAATAGTAATTTGATGGAGAATGTGTGATTAAAAAATAAGAATTTTTTTTGAATTTGCGTGTAATATCATTTTATTTTAGAATGTGAAGTTGAAGTAAGAGAAAAAAATGTATTTCGAAAATAATAAGTACCAAACAAGAGTCAATTAATGAAAAGTTGAAGATAAGAATTCGAAAAAAGTTAAAGAAATAATCACTACAATGAACAAAAATTAAAGAGATTAATTGCAATTAAAATGTGGTGTATCAAATAAAATTTGTAGTGACAATATAATCACCCTATTAATTATTGTGTAAAAAATTATATTCTATAATTACTACAATGAAAAAAAGTGGAGATCAATTGCAATGAAAATGTGGTGCATGAAATAAAAATTGTGATGACAATATAACTACCCTATTAATTGTTGTGTAAAAAATTATATTCTATTCTATTTATATGGTGAAGGAATCAGAATCCAATTTTTCAAAGGAAAAGAAAATGTCAACTGGACTCAGATCAGACACATATATTCCAATCTAATCTTCAAATCCAAAAGTGGTAGTAAATTCTCTTTTGCTCAATTCTCATTCCATTGTCCTTTCGCATACATATGAAATTATATATTCGCATTGCTATAAACCAAATATGCAAATCATACTTGCTTTATTCTTCTACACAATCTCTCCTTGATATTGATATTGAAAAGCTGGCAATAATTATTCAGTTCACAAGTTTAACTCCACCGTGTTGCATATGGTTAACAATTTATGATTATTTCTTTTTTGTCGACTAACAATTATGATTTTCATTACTAGTAACTTCAAATAACTCTTATTTAAACTCGCTTATGAGCTAATTTAACTTACAAGCATAGTTGTCAGATTCAACCCAGACAATGGCAGACCTAGCATTGAAGCTCAGCCCGAGCGGAGTAACTGACTGTCTAGTTACAGTTGTTAGTCGCTAGCATTCTTGCTCTAGCAAATAATTATAAATTAATTTATTATAATTTTTAATGAGTTATATATACAATTGCGTGATTTTGCATTTTTAATATATATACACTTTTGCATTAAGTTACGTTGGGTTTTATGATTTCTTTATGCGTTATATTGGATGAGACATTGACACTAGAATCTGTCGACGATTCTACGTTCTCAATGTTTGTGTAGGTGTCACTTAAAATCCGATTAACAACATATATAAGACAAATTAAACAGCTTTCCAATTCAGAACCCCCAAAATTTAAGAGACTTTTATCCTCAAATATCTCACAGTTACCACTGACACGAGCCTCTCGTTTTTGTAATTTAGCTGAACTGAAGAGACGCACTGACCAGGGAAAATAACAGCAAATGTTATTGAACATAACTCAGGTTAACCACTCCCATATTCCATCATCACATTCCTAATCTGAATTTGAAGTAGTTTTTTACTAATCTGTCTAATTATGTACATGGTAATTTATATTCCATTTTATGTCAATGTTGATACTTTAATCGCTTGTCAATGGAAAAGACTACGGAAATTTGGATATTTATCTCAATTTGTTACTCATTGGTCCTCACGAGCAGCCTATGTCGACAAGCATCTACAGGTAGAAGGACCCTCAGCCTCATGTGGCTTTCTCTACTCTCCCAATCTTCACTATACACCACGTTTGTCGTCAGTGAAAGTGTTTTTTTACAAATGCTAGGGGTCATTCTTCTATTGGTATGTTTATGCACCTTAGTTGTCTCAAAGTTAGCTGCTTGGCATGAGTAGCTTGGTGAGTCTTAAGGGGCTTTGGAAAGAAAGTGCTTATTTACTTTACTATGATGAGTGAGCTTGCTCGCATTTATTGATTGCATATTGTTTTGCTGTTCACATACCACCATACTAAAAGTATACCAATTTTCGCCATGTGCGTTCTGGAAACACGTCTTCCAATTACATCTTTTCTCGAATTTTCATTTCACTAGGGAAGTGATCTAACTTTAGTCCAGGCATTTTTTCCCCATCATAGAAGATATTCTCTAAATCAAGAAAAAGATTCAAAATTTGTAAAAACCCACTCATTTTAGAAGTACTTTCATGCCTCTTCTATCATCTAATAATAAGCCAGGGAGCAAACTGATCAAAACAGTAAAACAAAATTGAGCAAATGACCATCCCCTAATAAAGCTTGATCCCCATAGTCACTTATATTTCAATATTAACCTTAAAAAATTTCAAATCATAAATGAATACTTTCCTTTTCCTCCTACTTATAGCGGTATGCATATATCAATCAAATCATATATGAAAATATCATATTGCCTTAGTTTTTCGCAGAGTGCAAGTAGCATTGAGCATATAATAAAATGATAAAATTAAAGTCTCACAAATCAAACACCAACACACTCACGCATGCTAACCTAGTCGGCAACAGTACAACTCATAGACATGCAACGGCAATGCACAGCAGCAGCAGCAAGGACTCCGCAGGGCAGCCAATCGCCCTGATCGTCTCCATCTTCTACCGTTTGGGTAGAATTTTGGAATTGGAGATTTGAATTTGGTTTTGTTTGTAGCTAATGGGTTGCAAATTGGCCCAATTCATTGGGCCTTATTATTTAAAAAAAAGGCCCAAACATTGAAACAAAATAAGGAAAAAAAAAAATTCACCCAGCTGCTTTCTTCATTTCTTCCTGGCAGACAGCGTAGGCGTCACGACGATTTGAAGCTCCCGACGGATCGAGCACGGGAGGCCGCGGGGGCTGGCCAGGTGCTGGGTCCGCCCCTGTGCCCGGATAATGCAGCGGGTGGTTAATGGTTCAATCGGTGACCCGCATGTTGAACCGGCGGGTCACTGCATAAAAACGTATAAAAAATATATAAAGTATAAATTTTTTTAGGGGCAAAATTAAAATTTTAAATTTATTTTCACTAATTATTTATGTCTATAAAATAAAGTAAAATGTTGGATCAAAGTTTTTTAAAAGAATATTTTTATAAAAGTTATAAATGATTTTAGATATAAGTTATTGCATACAAATAACACTAAAACACTTTATGTTCAAGTGATGAGGAATTCATCATTTTTCTTAGAGGTTCAAGGTTCAATTCCCTTAGACCCAAAAATTTTGTAAGAAGATTTCAAAACCCAATCGAATCGGTCAACCGAGCCTGTAAATCGTCGGTTAACTCGGTCAAAGTCAGATTTTGACCGAGTGAAGTACATTTCTATCAAATTAACCTGCCCGGCCTGGGCCGTGTTTTATAACTATGCTTACAAGTGTTCAATTTGATTGTCAGACCATGGGATAGATATTTTCTTTTCCTAATAGTCGTTAATTGGGCATGCAATGCAGCCCTTGTTTGGGATCCACTATTTCAAAAATGCATTTTTCTCTCTTATTTTTACCTACATTATTTAATAAAATAATATTATATGTAAACTCGAATTTTTTTCTTATTTTTAAACAATATATTCTCCAAAAAAATTACTATTCTAAATTACATTTTTCGACAAAATTTGATTTTAATGAAGCCCCCAAACGGAGGAATTTATATTTGCACAATTATGGTATTGATTTAACATTAAT